ATAGAATAGAATAGAATAGAATAGAATAGAATAGAATAGAATAGAATTCTTTATTGGCCGAGTGTGATTGGACACACAAGGAATTTGTCTTGGTGCAAATGCTCTCAGTGTACATAAAAGAAAAGATACATTTACAGATGCTTATCTGGCTTTTAGCTACGTATGAATTTAGTTTAGTGCAACAGTGCTGAGGATCCAGAAAATATTGATGAGATCTTGTCAGCAAGCCCAAAAGCGTGATGGTATCTACTGTGACCTATCATCTCCTCCACTGTGGCTCTCAACCTCCAAAGAATGCCATCTGGAATGTAAAAATGGCATATCCCTCCTTCACAAGAAAATAATTGATTGTACCATGATATTCACGATCAACAATTTGCTCCTAGTTTGTTCCTGATTGAAACCACCAGATGTGATATGTAGCTTATAAAAGATCAGGACACATTTGTCCTTCGATTGGGCAGAAATCGGTTGTTCTTCTTGTTTTCTTCTTCTTTAGATTTGACTCCAAAAGAGTGGTCCAGCAATTACGAGCATGTGGGGTGTTAGAAACCATTCGTATTAGCTCTCAGAGTTACCCATCAAGGTATGGAGTTATACCTCTTCAAAGGTTGACTTTCGCATCTCTTTGATTGACTGATTCCAATGTTCTCCTCCTTTGACAGATGGACTTATATTGAGTTTTACAGCCGCTACAGCATTCTCATGTCTCAAAGTGAACTTTCTCTCACGGACAAGAAGCACATTTGCAAGATGGTTTTGCAGCGGCTAATCCAGGTCAGGAGTTTTCTAACCATCCCTACATGTAGAGAGCAGAAGGAATGGACATGAAACATTATAACTACAACAACAGAGGTGGTGGTATTCAGGGGTGGGATTCTACCAGTTTACACCTATTTGCTAGAATCTGTTGTTAACATTCTAAGCAGTTCGGAGAACCGGTTGTTAGAAGAAATTACTGGCCTAATCCTGTAAGGAAGGCAGGAAGGAAACATTCTGGTGTTGCTTACAGAAACTGCCTCTCCGTTAACCCTTATTACATTCTTGGCAGGACTAGACTTCCTGTCTCAGGAACGTCTCTGGAGTTTTTTTCCTCTCCTTTGCTGGTACTTTCCTTGTGTGGAGTGACCATTCAAAGTTACAATGGCACTGAAAAAAGTGACTTATGACCATTTTTCACACTTACGACTGTTGCAGCATCCCCACAGTCATGAGAGGCCAGGCGAAGAGATGCGTGCCTCGATGTGAGTGATATTGAGTTGGCCATGCCCAGCCAATAACATGACCACCAAGCCACGTGCACCCAGTCACATGACCACCAAGCCATGCCCACCACCTAAGCCATGCCCACAGGACCAGTTGTTTAAAATTTTGAATCCCACCCCTGGTGGTATTCATCAGGTTCTGACCAGTTCTGGAGGACCGGTAGCGGAAATTTTGATTAGTGCAGAGAACTGGCAAATACCGCCTCTGACTGGCCCCACCAACCCCATCTCTTCTCTGCCTCCCAAGTCCCACCTGATTGGCTGGGTCTCCTTTGGTTGCCCTGCACAGGAGAATGGAGATGGAGAGCAGGTTAGAGGTGTGGGGAGGGAATGGAGATTTTGCAGTAACTTCCCTCAGGAGTGGGGGTGGGAATGGAGATTTTGCAGTATCCTCCCCTGCCATGCCTACCAAGCCACGCCCACAGAAACGGTAGTAAAAACTTTTGAAGCCCACCACTGATTAGCAAGCACCTCAAATGTGATTATATGACCATGGAGGGTATGTGTGTGGTTGAAGTAACCTCCGAAACAGGTCATAAATAGCTTTTGGGAAGTTCCATTGTAACTTTGAATGGTCGCAAGTCAAGGTTGCAAGTCTTGTATAGCCATTTTATCTTCTCAGAAATGACTCTGATTTCTTTTTCTATTCCCCCCCCCCCCCCCCAGGATCCAAGTCAATATCAGTTTGGCAGGACCAAGATTTTTTTCAGAGCGGGGCAGGTCGCCTATTTGGAAAAAGTGCGATCAGATCGCCTGAGGCAAGCATGCATCATGGTTCAGAAGAACATCCGAGGTTGGCTTCAAAGGAAGAAGTTCCTCCGCGTCAGACAAGCGGCGGTCATCATACAACAATACTTCCGTGGACAGAAGTCTATACGGTATTTGCAAGGAACAATGGAGATGGTCCTTCGTTGATTAATGGGAACCTTTCCAGTGGACATATTTTGCAGCAAAATAAGCCACTGACTGTGTTAGTCAAGAGGTCTCCAAACTTGACAACTTTAGGGCTTGTGGACTTCATTTCCCAGAATTCCCCAGCTTGGCTGGGGAATTCTGGGAGTTGAAGTCCACAAGTCTTTAAGTTGCCACATTTGGGGACCCCTGGGTTAAACCCATGAGACAAACAATAACGGTTGGGTAGAAAGCACCTTCTTAAGAAGGTGTCTTCAAAGGAAGACTTTCACTTACTGAACATCGTATTCCCTTTTTTTCTCCAGGAAAGCTATAACTGCCAGGGCCCTGAAGGAAACCTGGGCTGCCATAGTTATCCAGAAATACAGCCGAGGATACTTAGTGCGTAGACTTTGCCAACTCATCCGTGTGGCTGCTTTGACGATCCAGGCCTTCGCACGAGGATTTCTAGCGAGGAAGAAATACAGGAAGGTAAAAATTCATTGAAACTGAGTTTACCAAAGACCCATCTTTGGTGTTTCATATTTATTATTCAGTAAGGAATGTGGGTAAGCAGGCTTTGCTTCATAGAAATAGAAGTAGAAGTAGAAATAGAAATAATAGAAATAGAAATAGAAATAATAGAAATAGAAATAGAAATAGAAATAATAGAAATAGAAATAGAAATAGAACAGAATTCTTTATTGGCCAAGTGTGATTGTACACACAAGGAATTTGTCTTGGTGCAAAGGCTCTCAGTGTACATAAAAGAAAAGATACATTCATCAAGAATCATAAGGCACAACACTTAATAATAGTCATAGGGTACAATAAGCAGTCAGATCATACTATGAAACAGTCAATATAAATAGTAAGGATATAAGCGACAAAGTTGCAGTCATACAGTCACAAGTGGGAGGAGATGGCTGATAAGGAGTGATGGGAAGATTAATAGTAATAGTAGTGCAGACTTAGTAAATAGTTGGACAGTGTTGAGGGAATTATTTGTTTAGCAAAGTTCAGGAAAAAACTGTCCTTGTGTCTAGTTGTTCTGGTGTGCAGGGCTCTATAGCGTCATTTTGAGGGAAGGAGTTGAAACAGTTTATGTCCGGGATGTGAGGGGTCTAAATATTTTCATAGTCCCTTTTTGGCTCATGCAGGATACAGGTCCTCCATGGAAGGCAGGTTGATAGTAATTGTTTTTTTCTGCAGTCCTAATTATCCTCTGGAGTCTGTGCCTGTCCTGTTGGGTTGCAGAACCGAACCAGACAGTGATAGAGGTGCAGATGACAGACTCAATAATTCCTCTGTAGAACTGGATCAGCAGCTCCTTGGGCAGTTTGAGCTTCCTGAGTTGGCGCAGAAAGAACATTCTCGGTTGTGCTTTTTTGATGACGTTTTTGATGTTAGGCGTCCATTTTAGGTCTTGTGATATGAAATGTGAAGGTCAGAGCAGCTACGTGGCAATGCCTTAACAACATCCTGCAAAGGCAAGGTGGGAGTTTCTCCCGCTGATCAGCATCCTCTGATTAACTGGAATTAGAACATGTTATAGAACACAGCATCCAGTTTTGGTCTCCGTGACATGAAAAATACTTCGAGATTCTGGAAAGAGTGCAGAGAAGAGCAATGAAGATGGTTAGGGGGCTGGAGGCTAAAGCATATAAAGCAGTTGTAGGAATTGGGTATGTCTAGTTTAATGAAAAGAAGGATTAAGGGGGGACATGATGGCAGTCTTCCAGTATTTGAGGGGCTGCCACAAAGAAGAGGGGATCATTCTAGTCTCCAGAGAATCTGGAGGCAGGATAAGAAGCAGTGGGTGGAAACTAATCAAGGAGAGAAGCAACCTGGAATTAAGGAAAGATTTCCTGAGAGTTAGAACAATAATTGAGTGGAACAACTTGGCTCCAGAGGTTGTGAATGCTCCAATACTGGAAGTTTTAAAGAAGAGATTGGATAATCATTTGTCTGAAACCGTATAGGGTCTCCTGCTTGAGCAGGGGGTTGGACTAGAAGACCTCTAAGGTCCCTTCCAACTCTTGTTATTCTCTTCTGTTCTGAGGTTGGCTCTCTCCGTGATTAGTTGCCACCCATTCTGTCATTCTGTTATGTGAGAGGTGAAGTGTAGTTGAGGAAGCAATAAGTAAGAACATAATTGCATACTCCTCATTTCCCATTGACTGCTCTTGAAACTTATCATTGCCTTTGTCACCTGTGTTTAGGATTCGGTGTGTTTTCCATACTGGTTACCTTTACTTGCTCCCTTTGTTACACTCTTTGCAGATGAACTTATTTACGATTTAATTAAATTAGTCAACTATCCCCTGAACGGAAGGTTATTAAATGATGAGGCGTGGTGTCAGTTTGCTCACCTGCTCCGCGAGGGAGATGGGGGTTTCTAAATTTGATAAATAAATAAATGAAATTTTCTTACAAAGATGCTTGAAGAACAGAAAGCTTTAATCCTCCAGAAGTACGCCCGGGCATGGCTGGCCAGACGCCGATTCCAGAGCATTCGCCGTTTCGTCCTGAACATCCAGCTTTCATACAGAGTCCAGCGGCTGCAGAAAAAACTGGAAGAACAGGTAGCTAAGAAATCACACCATCGTTCAAATAAGTTAATGTTGGTCCGACCAAGGCTTCCAAGACTGTAATTAAGCACATGCTTAATTAAAACAACTCTTGTTTTATTTCAACGCTTGGAATTATGTTCATTCCCAGCCTGTAATGAGTCCCAAGTAGTCCCTTGAGATAAGCACCCACCTTTATCTCCTTTGAATTGCTGCCAATAACTAGAGTGCCAAATGAACTGTAAAAAAACAACCGAACAAAATCCACACAGAGCTTCAAGGTTGAATCCGAACAGAGTGAACGACTTTGCTTCCTGCAAAGGTTTCTCTACCTTTGCTTGTCCTTTATACCTTACGGGAGGGGCAATCACCTCCCAGCCTTATTCCCAAGTCACCCCTTTTGTCTCAGCTGCTCTTGCCTTCTAGCAGCTCTGTGCATATGCACACTTGGGAACAGGCTTCCCTTGTTCCTCGGCCTCGCTGCTGCCAGACTCCGGAGGCTCCAGAGTCAACGCCCCACTCCCAGATAGCCCTGGCTCCATCTCTGCATTGGATGCAAGACCCTTGTCCGAGTCCTCCCCAGACTCCCAGACTGGTCCTTGTTCTTCCCCACTGTCCGATTCCACTGTCGTCTGCCCCAGCTGCCAGCGAACCACAACAAGTGTATTTTTATTATCTTGCCTAATGGATGCTTTTTTCTTCCTGGTTTTAGAATAAGGAAAATCATAGTTTGTTGGAAAAGCTGACCTTCCTTGCTTCAAGTCACTCCAGTGATACGGAGACCATTCAAAAACTTCACCAGGATCTTGAAAAATTAACCGGGCAGAGAAACATATCTGAAGAAAATGAAAGGAAGAACAGGGTGGGCTATGAACAGGTGAGGCGTAAGAGAACGTACAGGTAGTCCTGGACTTACAACAATTCGTTTAGTGACCGTTCAAAGTTACAACGGCACCGAAAAAAGTTGTGTTAGGCCCATTTTTCATACTTAACGTCCATTGCAGCCTCCTTGCAGTCGTGTGATCAAAATTCAGACCCCGGTTCGTATTTATGACAGTTGCTGAGTCCTGGGATGAATTAGCAGCAGAAATTTTGGGTTCAGTTGTGATCGTAAATTCTGTATAACAAAATAGAAAATGAGTTTGGGAGCAATGTGATTCAGCCAACCAAGGATAGAAAATAAATGGTTTGAAAATAAATGAATTTTCACACACAGATATATATATATTTCTTGCTTTATCTTCTCCATCTAGAGGGTCTCAGGACTTGAAAAGCACAACTTAGGGCTACAGGAAGAGAAGAAGAAGCTGGAAAAAGAACTTCAAAAGAAAACAGAGGAAATGAAAGGTGTGATCATGCTCTTATTTTGAGAATTAGTGGCTACTATGATCTTTTCACACTAGCTTCATACTATGCAATAATATAAAGCAGAATTTACCAGCCAGACTATTGAACACAAACTCAGTTTTGGCATTGTGTCTCGAGTAAATCCTATCTTTCTGCCTTGCAAACTCTGATTTGTAGTTCTTATATTATGTGAATTAAGACTTAGGGCTTACAAATCACGGTTAAGACAAACTATAGTTCATTATCCTAAAATATAATAATACAGCAATAAAGGAACTACAGGTTTTAAAAACAGAGATCAAAGGACATTCACAATACAAATGATTTTATAACCATGATTAAAAAGTTTAACACTGTCTTGGTATTTATATACAGAAATGCTTTTATCTATGATAGTTGTAAGATATATATGTTTTAAGTCTAGTATAACTGGAAGGCAACAACTTTAATGCTTTAATATTAAATTCATTTTGTGAAAAGTACAGATTTGGCTTTTAAAAAAATTGTAATGTCTCTCCCATCCATTGTAGACTGCTATGTAAGCTTACTTTATATAAAATCAAACTTTTCTAAGCTTTGCTTGATAGTCTTTAAAATTACATCTGGCTTAATTTTAATTATGCTACTCTATCTAAAAAGTTTTTTTTTTTAATGTCAGTATTATCTTTCTTCAGATAAACTGGATAATTTGACGAAGCAATTATTCTCTGATGTTCAAAGGGAGGAAAGGCAACGAATGTATGGAATTTAACTTCTTTTTTCAAATTGCCATTTTCTTAGGACTATTGGTTTTCTCCTTTGCAGAGAAAGTGAATTATTTTAAAAAGAGTGACGTATTAGTTTAAGTAGGACGTCTAAGCAGGAAGTATACATACTCAGTTCTAAAAGTACAGGGTCAATCCTGAAAAAGTTAGCATGAGAAAGTTTGCAAAGAGTAATTGGGCTGTTTTATGTCCACAACCCTATTTAGAAAATAAATGTAGAAATTAAAACTATTTAACAAGGCCTGCTGTTATGGTTCTAGATCTCCAGGGGGAGCAATCACAGTACAACTTTTGTGATTTTCTGGAATGACCATGTAATCCTGTGGAAAGACTATTTACCAACATCTTAATAATTATGTCAATTTTGTGCCTTCAATCTCATCGTGTTAGAATAAGGCAGCTCCTTGGATTTCCAAAGGATTGCCATTTAAACATGGTGGTTTTTTCTTTCTTTTTTTCAAAGTTACTGGCATATACATCAGTGTTTCTCAACTTTAGCAAATTTAAGATGCATGGATTTCGACTCCCAGAATTCCCTAGCCAGCAGGAGGAATTCTGGGAGTTAAAAATCCACAGATCAAAGTTCTCAATGTTGAGAAACACATGATACACACATCTTCTGATTAAAATATGGGTGCTGAAAGAAAAGGAGTGAAAGTTATCCTTGTGTAATGCTTCTGATTTATCGTTTCCGTTCTTTTAATATCAACTTTTTTAAAAAATATCATATATATTTCACCTTGTTATATGCCACAAACAGATATACAAGAGAGATATTGCACATCTGTAATGGACTTGTGTTTTAGAGTTGTAGAATTGTGTTCCTAGAGAGACAAGGATGTCCTTCTGAATCTTTGTAGATTATTGGAGAAAAATTTCCAGAGCCAAAAACAAGATTATGAAAAAAGGATTGAGTTACTCAATGCAGAAATAATGCTTCTCAAAGAGGAAAATGCTCAGCTGCAAAATCAGATTCAAGAAATGCAACAAACCCAAGATGGCTTAAAAACAGAAATAGAGGAGCTTTCAAACCAAATAAAGGTAGGATAAGAAATGAAAAAAATGATTAAGAATCTCCATAGACATAAGAAATGAAATAGATATTAATTTGGGATATTCAAATTCCTGGTTTTATGTGCTGTGCACTGTTACTCTTATATACTTATTATTATTATATTCATATGCTGCACATTTTATTCTTATTTTCACTACTCTGTCCCTATACTTCCTACCTAAACCCAATTAATCCTAAAATTTAAACATAATTTCCAAATTACTAACTGTCATTTTAACTTTGGGATTGTGGCTATTGTAGTATCATCCTCTTTGCCTCATTATTTACATCTCATTGAACAATGTCTCGTTCTATCAATGTTTAATGAACTCAGACAATCCCTGAATTGCGAAAAGAAATAGACTTCCTTCAAATTCAGAAACTGGATGCGGAGAAGCAACTACAATTCCAGAAGCGTGAAATGAGAGGTAATTGGAAAACATCACTCATTCTCATGATTAAAATGTGCCGGCAAATGGATTTCACAGTCCAAGTGCTATAATGATATAGCCTTCCATCTTGAACTCATCTGTGGACATTTATACGATGACTCTGGAAATGCAGAGGCATTGTGCACAAAAAAGAGGGAAATGAAGGGATTGAATTTGGGAGAAATAATCGGCAAAAACTCAAAATCAGCATTTGTCAGGACTCAATAAACTGAATTAATAGGATATAAACAAGTTCAGTGTGACTATTTTGTGAAGTACATGGTGGGAAAATTTGTAAATCATAGATGTTCTTAGTTAGAGCAGCTTTTTTCAGCGTGATCTCTTCTTCACGTGTTGGGATTCCAACTCCCAGAATTCCTTAGATCAGTGTTTCTCACCGTGGCCATTTTAAGATGTGTGGACTTCAACTCCCAGAATTCCCCAGCCAGCATGCAACGGAAATGGAAAGCAATGGCAATGGAGTCCAGAAAAGCAATTCCAGTATATATGGAAGGCAGAAACTAGATGAAGCTGATTTGTAGCTATCAAATCAGTGAAACTTGATCAATGAAGCAAAACAATTGATTGCAAGCAAACTTGGATGTGTAGTCATCATTAGGACTACGTGGTCGAAGTAGAAAGTCAACATGCGTGCAACTTTTCTTTTTTTTGCTCTCATTTAGAGAAGATGTCCGAGATTACAAAGCAACTCTTGGAAAGCTATGACTTTACAGACGTGAGGAGCAGGTACTGATCTCCCTTTGTTGGCTTTCCAGAAGGTAGCAGCGTCCAGTTCTTCTTCACAGATCTTTCTCCTAACTTCCCCTATCCTTTCTCCCTGATCAACAGGTTGTCTCCTGAAGACTTGCAGCATTTGAATGAAGATGGTGAACTCTGGTTTGCCTATGAAGGCTTGAAAAAAGCCACACGGTGAGCTGCACTTTCATTTCTTTGGGATATAACCTTGAGTCACATATTGGTAGGAATTCTGGAGGCACAACTGTGATGACCCAGGGTGGGATACAAAATAAACACAGTCACAAAAACCCGGTGAAGCCCCTTTTATTCCTTCACTTTGCTTCCAAGCTCCAAATATCCTTGACTGGAGACAAAAAACTCCCACACAAGCAGTTACAAGAAGGAGGAAATGCCGTTTAAATTATAAGACTAAAAAACACACAAATCAGGCAAGATAAGGGCTTGAAGATGTCCACAGATATCAGAACACACACTGGGAAGGACGCCAAACTCAGATAGGAACAATAAACTAGAGATATTTCCATGCTTTGTTTCCAGCACTGGCCCGTACGCATGTCCGTCCTCTTATCCAATTGTCACAGCTGCAGCCCATGAAAAGGATCAAGGCCCTCTCCTCCCCCGTAGACCACGTCTCTCCCTTATCCTCTCCTCCCTGCATGCCCTAGGATGGAGAGGGGATGGGCCCGGGTCCTCCTCTGACTGTCCAGCCGGCCTCTGCCCTTCCCCAGCCTCCTCCACAACCTCTGGAGCCACACTTCCACTCCCTGACGGCTGTTCCTCCTCTCCCTCAGAGTCAGTCGCCACCAGGGGTATGACAACAACACTTATATCAGTTATCATGTCCTAAAGCTGCCAGATATATTGCTCTATAGCAGTAACTTATGAACTTTAGTAGAGTGGGGGTATGGTCTTCAGGTTTAAAAATTGATGTCTCCCTTAGCATAGGAATGACGGTAGAGCAGAAGCTATGGGGAATCAGGGTTTTTGCTCCGTTGTTAAGTGAACTTCAGCCCATTGAAAGCTTAGGCTATTTAATAAAATGTTGTGATCAGAAAAAGGGGCTGCCAGAATCCTCATATCCGTCATCATCAGTTTTAATTGTCAACCTTGAACTTTCAGTGGTTTTTGACAGTGGAAACTGTTTCTCCTTCTCTTTGGCTAAAACGTTGACACTCTACAGTGTATTTACAAGAACAGTAGTAGAAATGAATCCATCTGTTTGAAACTAAGCCTCAAATAAATTTGTTGTATATTTAGATTCGTAAAACTAAGCCTTGGATATTTTATGGAGACAGGCGCAATCTGGTTAAATAGTATTGGGGACAGAGATACCCACAGCGTAAGTCAGTCTCTGTTCTGGGAGTCTGTTTTATTGCAAGGCTTAGTTTAAAAGTTTTTAATTCAGCAGCTTACCTTTGACATGGTTTAAACCTACTCTGTTTATCTCAGCTTTCTTTCTTTTTTTTTTTAATACTGGGTATTTGGTCTGTTGATACTAAGGATTTGATGTGGTGGGCTAAATCTTAAACTCTCTTTGGTTAACTGGTCTCATGCAAGTAAACAGAGGGAAAAAATGCATTCTATTAGATGACAAACTTTTTTTCTGGGAAAAACCACCCTAATCATGTCTTTAATACATTAACTTGTCTTTTAAGCCAACTCCAAATACCCACAGAATTGGTGGTCTCAAGTTCTTTGTAGATGCTCAAGGAGAGGCTATATGCCATGGATGCCTTAATTTGGGTTTTTGCACTGAACAGGGAGTTCAATTCTGTGGCCTAAATAGCTCCTTCCAATTCTGTTGTTTCAATATACTATTTCCTGTCCTTGTTACATCACTTATATACTTCAGCTTCAACCGCAACAATACAAGAGCACACAACAGATACAAACTCAATGTAAACCACTCCAAACTTGATTGCAGAAAGTAGGACTTCAGCAACAGAGTGGTCAATGCCTGGAATGCACTACCTGACTCTGTTGTTACATCCTCTAACCCTCATTCCTTTAACCTCAAACTATCCACTATTGACCTCACCCCATTCCTAAGAGGTCTGTAAGGGGCGTGCATAAGTGCACCATCGTGCCTACTGTCCCTGTCCTATTGTCCCCATTTATTCGTACCTATTTCCTGTATTCTTACCCATGTATTATCTTGTAAGCGATTGACAAATCAAATAAATAAATACATATTAGGATGGGGAACCTATGGGCTTCCAGATGTTGTTGCTTTCAACTCTTACCAGCTCCAGTTAAAATTACTAGTGGTAAAGAAAGTTGGGTCTTCAAACTTGTGTAAGTCTCCATATTTCCAGATGCAGAGGTTCCTCAAGGGATCTCCAAAGTTGGCAACTTTAAGACCTTGTGGACTTCAACTCCCAGAAATTCCCCAACTAGCCATGCTGGGGATTGAAGTCCATAAGTCTTAAAGTTGCTAACTTTGGAGATCCTTATGATAATAGTTTAATTGCTGGGATTCCTACTGCTTAGATCCAACATTCTTGGCCCAAAGCCATCTAGAACTAATGAAACAGCACCTTCTAGTATTTCAAGTTAGCCTTGAGAGTTGCTAGCTTAGTCTTTCTGGATGACCAAATTGAAGACGTCTGAAGCTTAATGAACAAAGGAAGTGATCCAGTGCTGGTATTCAGCAGCTTCTGACCAGTTCTGGAGAACCGGTAGTGGAAATTTTGAGTAGTTAGGAGAATCGGCAAATACCACCTCTGACTGGAGATTTTATGGTATCCTTCCCCTGACACGCTCACAGAACTGGTAGTAAAAAAAAAAATGAATCCCACCACTGAAGTGATCCATTCTTCTGTACAGATTTGTTATGGGAGGGAATAAGCTTGAATTGGATGCTTTTCTTTAAAAATGTCCCTTTTATTTAATAGGCAGTTGAAAGCACAGTGCAGATAAAGCAGAAAAGAAACAAGAAACGGGAAAGAGATTTACAAGCTGTATAAAACTGAGGAAAAATGTTGAAGTTAACATTACATTACTGCTGCATAAAAAAGTGATCAAAACCATTATTAACGTCAAATCAGTATTCAGTAACCAGCAAAGGTGTAATAAGAATCATGTCAGAATTACAATTGTCCTAAATTTATCAATGGATAAATCAATGGAGACCAAGAGGAGCAAGCGGCCAGTTTTAAGTTTCTGGGTGTTACCCTAAAAGAGGACCTGACCTGGGGGGCTCACATTGAAGCTCTGGTCAAAAGGGCCCAGCAGAGATTAGACTACCTGAGACTTCTCAGAAAACAACAACTGAATGAAAAACTGCTGGTGACCTTTTACCGCTGCACCATAGAGAGCATTTTAACCTACTGCACCTCTGTATGGTTTGCCAATTGCACAGTGGCAGATAGGACAGCGCTTCAGAGGGTTAATGTCATTGCCCAGAAGATCATTGGTTGCCCTCTCTCCTCTTTGGAAGAGCTTTATAGCTCCTGTTGCCTTAAGAAAGTTCAAAACATTCTCAATCCATCTCATCCTGGGAACTCTTTTTTTGAACTATTACCATCTGGCAGACGGTGCAGGATAATAAAAACAAGGACAAATAGGCTGAAAAACAGCTTCTATCCCAGGGCAGGAGCTCTTTTGAATTCTACTGTATTAGTGCAGTGTTGGTGCAGTGTTGGGGGTTTTCAGTTCGATGTGTGGAGTGTGAAGGATGTGTGTTTCATGGTCATGATGTGCACTGAAAATGGTATTTGATTTCATTGTACGAGGTGCAATGACAATAAAGTAAACTAAACTAAACTAAATTTCTATCTCATCTAAAAAGTTCTATCCTTATTAACAGGTCTTTTTTTTTTAACTGATTGGTGCCCAATACTTCTTTCGTGGATTTCTTTTGCTCTTGGCAAAGACAAGCATTGCATTATTACGACTATCCTGTCTCTTGTAAGCTCTTTTATTGTCGTCCTTCCTGCAGAGTTTTGGAAAAACATTTCGAGGATCAGAAGGAGCACTATGAAAGGGAGATAGATGAACTGAACGCTAAAATAAACCATCTGAGTCAAGAAATCACCCATCTACAGAAGCTCTTCAGGGAGGAAAACAACACCAATGAATGTATCCGTCTCCAGGTTGTCAGGCTAACCTCAGAGAATATGGTGAGGTCTGTTATAGAACTTAGAAATCTCTTCTAGAACCAAATGGCTTCCAAATAGGAACAGGTAAGCAGATAGCAAAACCAGGTGTAGCTACAGGTAGTCCTCAAACTTGCAATCACTGCTGGGACCAGAATTTCCATTGCCAAGCATGGTGGTTGTTAAGTAAAGTCGTGTCCCATTTCATGACCTTTTTTGGGTCATAGTTGTTAAGTGAATCACTGCAGCTGTTATCGTTCCAAAGGTGCTTTTTCAAGAGGAGTCAACCGAGCAGTGCAAATGGTTTTTTGAGCCTGCCATTTCTCTGGAAATCCGTTCCTACTCCCAGACCATTCGAAGGATGCTCATGCCAAAGCGCATAGCTAAATATCTGTTAAGATTCTCGGTCATCGTTCACAAGAACCAGTTGCAAATCTCTTTTCTCAATGCTGTCGTAACTTCAAGGAGATGGTCAACCCAAGATTGTAAGTTGAGGACTTACCTGTATTACAAAATTGGCCTGCAGATCTTGCATGCAAGCATGTTGCCTGTTTTTTAAACCATCGGCTCCCAGGTTGCTGGCTTGATTTTGTGAGGTCAATCAATCAAACAGTCAATCAGAAAAGAGATGAAAGGGACCTTGGAGGTCTTCTATACCAGGGGTGTCAAACTCAAGGCCCACGGGATGGTTAGATCTGGCCCATGGCGACGCCCTGGAAATAGTGAAGGACTGGCTCCGTATTCGCTGGCAGAGGGTTGCAGGCAGGGGTAGGATTCAAATTTTTAAACAACTGGTTCTGTGGGCGTGGCTTAGCTGGTGGGCATGGCTTGGTGGTCATGTTATTGCCTGGGCATGGCCAACTCAATATCACTCACATCGAGGCATGCATCTCCTCACGCCCACCACCTAAGCCACACCCACAGAACCGGCTGTTAAAAAATTTGAATCCCACCCTTGGATAAATTGAATGAAATGATAACGGTGTTGCATTGTCCTGCAGGGAGTTTTCCTGAAGTGAGTTGCTGGTGGCAAGTTGGCAGGGGCAAGTTGGCCATGACATGTTGTCTTAGAGCCGTGATGGCAAACCTAGAGCACGTGTGCCAGAAGTGGCACACGAGAGGTTGCCCGGAAGAGCCCCACTGCGCATGCCTGCCCGCCACCTCATTGTCAGGTATCTGGCACGCATGTGCAGGGGGGCGGGGAGGCACAGGAGGTGCACAAGCATGCACAGAGAAGTGGGGTGTGCGTGGGAGAGGGCTCTGGGACAGTGGTAGCTAACCTTTTGGGGCTCCCGTCGGGTGGGATTCAAATTTTTAAACAACTGATTTTGTGGGCGTGGCTTAGGTGGTGGGCATGGCTTGGTGGTCATGTGACTGGCTGGGCATGGCCAACTCAACATCACTCACATCGAGGCACGCATCTCCTCGCCTGGCCTCTCATGACTGTGGGGATGCTGCAACAGTCGTAAGTGTGAAAAATGGTCATAAGTCACTTTTTTCAGTGCCATTGTAACTTTGAATGGTCACTCCACACAAGCAAAGTACCAACAAAGAAGGGGAAAAAAACCTCCAGAGACGTTCCTGAGACAGGAAGTCTAGTCCTGCCAAGAATGTAATAAGGGTTAACGGAGAGGCAGTTTCTGTAAGCAACACCAGAATGTTTCCTTCCTGCCTTCCTTACAGGATTAGGCCAGTAATTTCTTCTAACAACCGGTTCTCCGAACTGCTTAGAATGTTAACAACCGGTTCTAGCGAATAGGTGCAAACCTGTAGAATCCCACCCCTGGTTGCAGGAGGCTGTCACAGCCGAAAATGGAGCTCGGGAGCCTGGTTTTGCTGGCAGAGCGCTTGGGCCATCAGAGGCGCCCCCAAGACAAGTGATGTAGAGCTGGCCACGCCCATCCTGGCCATGCCCCCCCCTCTCTCTCACACACACACACAACCCAAGGTCAAACACAACACTGATGCGGCCCTCAATAAAATCGAATTTGACCCCCCTGCCCTGTACTATTTCAATAGAAGTTACTCGGTAAAGAAGAGTAACGAGGAACTTCATACTCAATCAAGACCTACTACAACCTTTTGTAAAGTAAACTGTTGAGACTACTGATTGAACCATAGAGTACCGTATCTCTAAAACAGGATTTAGGGTGCATATCAAGATCTTCTTCGCTTCAAAGAAAGTGAATAATAGTTACCGAAGAAAACTATTTTTATTTTGCTGTTGTAGTAGTAGTAATAATAATAATAACAACAACAATCGTAACAATAGAGGAATGACGTAGTTATCCTATTCTTTCCTCCCCTTTTTCCTTTTTTGGTTGAAGATGATGCCTGACCTTAAGCGGCAGGTTTCTGAACTTCAGAAGCAGAAGCTGGACCTTGAGAATCGTCTTCAGGATGAACTTGCCAAGAAAAATGGTAATTTGCACAATGGGGAGAATATATTTTTTGGCCAGGGATGTTCTACTCAGGCGGGCCGAGAATAGGGTGGAGGGTGTGCCTCAGGTTCAGTCACAGTTTCAGTTTCTGGCATGCTCGCTTCCTAGAAGCAGGAATAGGGTCGCGCATGTCATGCCAATCCTTCCCCCTCCCCCCAAGAGCCATTATGGTTGGTGGCAAAGCACCTGGCCTAAAAGAGAGAGTCCTGAGTTCAAGTCCTATTTAGGCATGGAAGCTGGGCAGATGAGTTTGCGTTGGTTACTCTCTTAGCCCAAGAGGTGAAATCGAAAAATCTCTATCTAGCAACCTTCATTGGACCAGATAATAGTCCATAACATTCAGTAAAGAGGGCTTGTTCCTGGAGGGAGAGAGAGAGAGAGAGAGAGAGAGAAGGGGGAGAGAGGGAGGGAAGGAAAGAGGGAGGGAGAGAGGGAGGGAAGGAAGGAAAGAGGGAGGGAGGGAGGGAAGGAAGGAGAAAGAGAGGAGGGAGAGAGGGAGGGAGGAAGAGAAAAGGAGGGAAGGAGAGAGGGAGGGAGGGAGAAAGGGAAGGAAGGAAGGAAAGAGACGGGGGAAGAGAGAGGTTTCTCATTTCACCTATCATTAAAAAAAAAAGAGCTATTATTGGAAGACTTTTTATTCTATATAATCTTCATGTTTTATTAGGCTTTAAAACTCTACCATCCATAAACTGCTGCCTAGTAACAGCCAGTAGTGGATGATAGGCTGCACTTTAGAAAGACTTAATTATTCATGTTCTGTGAAATTGTTTTTTCCGTTTAATGTGAGGTCGTATTATATATGGAGAATCTTGCTGCATCATTCATATTATGTATCTGGAGGGCCTTTTGGATGAACTTTGTAAATTTCTAAGTTACTTTTTCCTCTTTGTCTCCTTTGTTTTCCTGTATTGTTTCATTATTCTTCCCAGATCCCATTCAGCCTCTCTTTAAATATTCTAGCGTGTAAAGATATGGTTACTGTCACCATATTAAAGGTATTAAATTCTAATGTGAGTTCACAGATTAAAACACTTATCTTTATTGTTGCAGAGAAAATGGAAGACACAAAAGATTGGACACCTCAAAGCCCAGAAGAGGAACGCTCACAAAAACAGTAAGCAGACTTCAATGTAAAAAATAAATAACGATAATGTATTATTAATTATAATAATAAATATTAGTGATTGGGCCATGTGACTGTAGATTTATCTGGGCATTGAACTTTAAGCAGTAGTTTTGTAAAATGATTCAACTAACCACAGTTAAAATTATATGTTCTGGCTTCACAAACATTCTGGATTTTAACTAGATTACATGTGGTTGAGTTTGTCTACCTTGGCAGTCTAAAATACGGTTGGCTGCTTTGTGTTCACTTGTGTTGTGCAAGCACAGCCGGATTTCTAAGTAATAGAATAGAATTCTTTTATTGGTCAAGTGTGATTGGACACACAAGGAATTTGTCTTGGTGCAAATGCTCTCAGGGTACATTAAAGAAAAGATACATTCGTCAGAGTCAAGAATCATAAGGTACAACACTTAATAGTCATAGGGTACAATAAGCAATCAAATCACACTAGGAAACAGTCAATATCAATAGTAAGGATACAAGCGACAGTCATAAGTGGAGGGGATGGGTGATAAGGACTGATGAGAAGATTAACAGTAATAGTAGTGCAGACTTAGTAAATAGTTGGACAGCGTTGAGGGAATTATTTGTTTAGCAGAGTGATGGCGTTCAGGGAAAAACTGTCCTTGTGTCTAGTTGTTCTGGTGTGCAGGGCTCTGTAGCGTCGTTTTGAGGGAAGGAGTTGAAACAGTTTATGTCCGGGATGTGAGGGGTCTATAAATATTTTCACAGCCCTCTTTTTGACTCGTGCAGTATACAGGTCTTCGATAGAAGGCAGGTTGATAGTAATTGCTTTTTCTGCAGTCCTAATTACTCTCTGGAGTCTGTGTCTGTCCTGTTGGGTTGCAGAACCAAACCAGACAGTTATAAAGGTGCAGATGACAGATTCAATAATTTCTCTGTAGAATGGAAATGAAAAAGAAAATGGAAAGGAAGACCTACAATGATTATGTTGGAAACTTATGAGACATTGCCACATATTTCAGAAAAGGTTTCTATGTTTTGCCACTGACGTTTTCATTTAACAGCTTCTTAGAAAGTGATCTTGTATAATAAGAGTATTGTGAAAGATTTTATTGGCTGATTTCTACCTAAAAAAGGATATTTTTTTCCCTGATCTGGGGATTTAAAAAAAGAAGCTTGAAATGCATGGAAAGTGGAACATAGAACATTTTACATTAAATCCTCGGTTTACAACAATCCATTTAGTAACAATTTAGAATTATAGAGTTCCAGCATCATGTGATCACTGTTTATGACATTCCCACCTGTCTCCCGACAAAGTCAGTGAGAGAACTCAGATTCGCTTAACAACTGTAGTAATTAACATAACAACTATGAAATAAAGCTTGTAAAATTGGGTGTAACCCACTTAACATCCTCGTCTCTTAGCAACGGAGAAGCTGATCCCAATTGTGGCTTTACCTCAAGGAGTACAGCAAAATGTTGTTTTGTGCACAGGGACAAAAAAAGAGAGGCTCAAATATATCTTATTCTTTTTAGAGCTTTGCCGCTTCGAAAGGTCATGTCCACTAAAGGAAAGATGGTAGCCACGTTTCCAGAGTTTCAACGGGACAGTCTGGAGAACCAGTCTGAAAGAGCAAATGGGACTGGAAGCAAAATATGGCAGGATGTGGCGTATCTCACCATGGAAAACACAGTAAGGAAGACCCAGAAGTTCAGAAATGTTTATTATGAACTGCTTAAAAAAATAGGCAAGTCCCACCGTTGTCCCAAAGGTCCTTTTTCCAAAAGGCATCTGGTGTTCTGACCCAGGCTTCGTCAATCGTAATTAATCGTAAAACTTGTTTTAAAAGCAAAACCTATTTTATTGCAACGCTGGGAATTGTTTTCATTCCCTGCCAGAACTAATCTTAAACAGTCCCCCAAGATAAGCACCACACCTTTCAGTTCTGTGGAATGCTGCCAAAAAAAGAAGCATCCAGTTAACTAGAAAAGGAACTAACCGAAGTACCAGAAAAAAACAACCAGAGCTTCGAGGAGGGACTCGGAACCAATCGAACTACTTTGCTTCCTGCAAAGGTTTCATCATCTAGGCCTGACTTTTATCCCTTATGGGAGGGGCAATCGCCTCCCAGCCTTACTCCCGAGTCGCCTCTTTTGTTTCAGCTGCTCTCACCTTCTAGCAGCTCTGCGCACATGCGCACTGGGAACAGGCTCCCCTGGGTCCTCTGCCTTGCTGCTGCCAGACTCTGAAGGCTCCAAAGGCAGCACCCCACTCCCAGATGATCCTGGCCCCGTCCCTGCATCAGATGCAGGACCCTCGTTCGAGTTCTCTCCAGTCTCCCTGACTGGTCCCTGTTCTTCCCCACTGTCCAATTCCGCTGCCGGCTGCACTGGCTGCCGGCGAACCACAACAACTGGACTTTCTTGGGTTTTTTTTTTCCTTTGAAGTAAACTAAAGAAGCTTCTTGGATGAGAAAGTCCAGTTGCCTTTCAGAAAAAACACCTTTGGGACAACCATGACCTGAATAATTGAGAATCTCCCATAGACAAAGCCCATCATTGTTCTCCTGTATTAGGAAAATTAGACAGGAAAGACAAGTTAGCCTTCAGAAAGTGAGGGAAGCTGAATGTCAAACTTGCAAAGCTTTCCTGTCCCGCTCCAGAGTTGCCATAGGCAGGGGGATGGGAAATTGCGCCTCGCAGCTGCACCGAGGAATTTGCACCTCAGTCAAAACAAAACACATCCTAGCAGGCCGAAGCCAAGGCCATCTCTACGGAGACCCACAACGGCCCGAGGGAGTGACTTCTATGACTCACAAAATTGCTTCGTTGGGGAATGTGACTGGTGACACACCTTGAGGGGAGAGGGAAACAGGGTCAGAGGCACAATGGGAACTGTGTGAAGTCAGAGTTGGCTTCACTTAGTTCATGCTGACATGGTGCTCCTAATAAACAACTGGATTTTTCTTGCTAAATGGATGAGGCTCCTGCTTTTATTGATACCCTGACAACAAGCTTATAAACTTGTTCATTTACATAAGTGTCATAAACAACTTCATTTACATTAACTACTTTCTTTTAAAACGTGGGTTTAATTGACAAAATACTTATTAACTTGAGATGAAGGCTTGCCAAAATTCAGCCTCTACTCTGCTGGTGCTCCAGGTTAGAAAGAAAGCGGCTTTCTAACACTTGCTATTGGTCAGTAGCCAACCCAAATATTGGATATAGGAGACAGTTGAGAGAAATGGCATTCCTGGAAGCGGACAAAGGCCATTTTAACGTGCATTTTTCTTCCTCGACTCCACCAACATCGTAGGATCTGGAAGAAGAGCTGGATAAAAAAGACCGGTTGATAAAGAAACTTCAGGATCAGATCAGAACCCTTAAAAAATCCATTGAGACAGGTAAGAATGTTTATTTATGTATTATTTATTTATTAGAATGTACCAAACAAAAACAAGAACAAGGATAAAAGAATAAAAATACAATGACAGGAAACGATAGGCACATTAGTGCACATGCACACCCCCTTTTTATGCTTAACACTTCATATTTTAAAATTCAATTTTGTGACACTTGGTCGAGGTTTCTTTTTTCTGGAAGTAAATCTATTTCGATACTAAACAGGCCATGAAGAATCCCCGTCTTCTGTGCTGAGGGAATACCTGGGGATGTTGCAGTACAGAAAGGAGGATGAACCAAAAATCGCTCAAAATCTGATCCTTGGTACGTCCGTCACATTTTGCATTTCCGTTAACGTAAATCTAGGCGAAACCCAAGGCGTTAATGTTATTAAAGATTTTGGGCTGTGATCAGTCCTTACATTTTTCCTCTTCTTTCTTGTGGTCTTTTAAAGGCATCTCATATTTGTGTAGTGGGGAGGGGTCTTTTGTCTATGTTTTTTCCTGTAACTTCTCTATAAACTGTTCATTCTTCAAGCTTAAACCTTTGGAAGACTCCAGAATCCTGAATTTCCTTATCCTTCTTTGATCTTCCATTACTGTAAGTCGCATCTAAAAAACAATCAACTTGTTACTGAGACGTTTTTCCTTCCTTCCTT